AGAGGGCTATGAATATTCTGACAGGGATTTCACCTAGTGGGAGGAAATACTTGATTTCTGCGCATGCACTTTGCTTCTGAAACACATGTTGTGCTCCGACCTTTGCGTGCAGCGCATTCCAAGACAGCTCCTATGCATGGTTGCCTATAACACCGCCTTCATGCATTAGTATATGGGAAGCGATTTATCCTCCATGTTGTTTAAGTAGATGGCCAAAATGGTCAGGGATAACCAGCTGTCTCTAGTGTGAGCTTTATTTCAATTCTCCGCGCCTTGTCTGAAAACTGGTCCGAATATGGACTAAAACTAGCCAGTTGTAGCCGCACGGCCTGCTTGGGCTCTTTTCAAAATATAATTCACATGTGGTGTGTGTTTTCCAACAGCACTGTTCAAAAAAAAAAAAGAACCCAGCATTGCACCATTTCGTTTGTTCACACTTAAAAGGCTTTTATCATTGGTTTGTGGTGAATTTACAAAGAGGGTTTGACTAAAAATGCAGACTACATGATAAGTGTGACGGGGATTGTATGTGTGCCATTTGATGTTGCGCTTGTTGAATGAAACTAGTATTTAAAAAAAAGAACAGTCAAAAACACCAACACAATAATTACTTTTGATGTTGATTCTATCGTGTTTGATGAAATTGAGACACTTTTGTTCACATGTATGAGAGAAACATTGAAATGAACAGCTCTTAGCCAAAAGACATGGAGTGAAGAATTGTCACGTTCATGAATGGTTGTTTTCATCTTCATAGAATTTTTCTTTGTGGAAAGTTGTGCATAACTGTACGTGTATAAGAAAGGAAAAATGGAAACGATGAGCTATTTACACAATTGCCTAGCTTGGTTGAGTGTCTGCAGGGGAATCATGAATGTGCTTCTTGAAAAATGCAGCTCCATGTGTGTAAATGAAATGGAGAAATCTGTGAGGATTTCTATTAAAACTTGTTGAACACCTTTGCTTGTACTGACTTTATTTTAATTAGTATAGCACAGTGACTAATAATGTTTTGAGTTTTTTTTTTGATACTAGCTAAAATTGTGTTTTCAGAAAATGTACCTTTCAATGCATAATTCGACTGATGTTATTTTCTAACTACCTACACTTTGTTTCAGAGCGGAACAACCATTTGAACTTTGGTGAGAGAGGACTTTCCCTGTCGCTGTCACTCCAGTGAAATTGGGCTTGAGAAGCGATCGCGTCTTCAACCATGTTTGACATCAGTACATTTGAATGTCAGTGGAGCATTTATAGTTTCCCAGTGTAGACTGAGAGTCCTCCATTACATACACAGACTGACAGCCTCGTCAAGCATGCAACTCATTTCTGGCAGCTAATTGAATTAGTGGCTTCCTCCTTTTCAAAACATGAACATTTTACTATTTCCCAGCAAAAGTAAATGAAAGAAAGGAAGAAAAAGGCATAAAATCCACACAACCGCAAATTCAGCATTTGCAGCAGACGTTTTCAACTGTCACATTTGCTGATCTGCAGCAAAAGGAGGATGGAAATATTCCCTCTGCAGCCATTGAAATGCACAGCCACCAGCTGTTGTCCTGTCCACCACGTGGACATGGCTGGCTGTCAACCGGCTTAGCCGGCACAGTGCCTTGCATATGAAATAGGACATGTGCTGCCATCCCCTCTGGGAGTTCACTTCCTCTGAGGCCCCAGCAGCACCACTGCACCACCTTGCCCCTGAAACAAGCGGTCCCTTTAGATACAGGGCAAATAGCCAGAGGAGCAATCAAGGATTCTGAGAGCCTTGGCGGTGGGACTAAAAGGGGCCAACATAGAGGATACCAAATGAATATGATTAAATATAGGTGTCTGTCTACCGAATTTAAAACCAAATATGGAATTGCGTGTAAGCCATAACTTTTATTCATGTCGTAATAATTCCATAGTGTGCAAATTTGTCTTTTTTAAACACAAAATGAAGGTCTCGACACTGGCCGGGTGTGCTCAGGCACATCCAATGCATACATAGGGGCAAAACGCAACAAAATGGCCTCTACTTTATTTTTCACGTTCATCCAACACGGACAGTTTTAACATGTTCTTTTTCAAAGCTCAGCCACAGTTGTTGATGGATGTGGCATGTATGCATAAAATCAAACAAGCGCATTCAAATTTCTGATCCACAGACGTTTTTCTATCGTGGGAGATCTGAGATGTCACATTGTTATGGCTGCCTGTCTCCTACCATTCAATCAGATTTCAAAATGGGAGCCGGAAAGTTTCCGTTTCTTTTTTCTCCAAAGAAACATTGATGGATATGGAACAAGACACAACCCATTTTGGAAGGTAGAGCATGCACCCACTTATCCAACTGTCCCTTTTTGCTCTACCGGTAGCAGTGGTATGGCCTGGTGGGGTGTGGAGGTGAACACACCACTGTCCATGTGTCTAAAAAAATACACTTGATGAGGAAAGAATGGGTTGATGAGGGCTGCCCACATATTGCACTGCAAGTATGTCAGGTTAATGACAATCTATGTGTGTGTATGGAAAAAAGGCACATTATTCAGGTGTTTTATGCATCTATGTCCAGACCGCCCACACATCCCTGTGTGTGTGTGTGTGTGTGGGGGGGGGGGGGTTAGATACAAGTGCCACTGTGCCAAAAGAAATCCCAGAAAGGGAAAACTCCACACAGAAAGACCACAAAATGGGATTCAAACCATTGCCAACCAACCACTGGTCTCCAATGCCAGAAATACTCAAATGTTAGCAAAATAGTAAATCATTCCCTGTCCATATGGAGCTTAAGTGGACAGATATGGCTTCGGGTTGCCTCCCACAAGTGAACCAGCGAGAAACCAGAGAGAAATCTTGTCCACCACCGACTTCACTAGTTTCAGCCTCATTAGCTCTGAAGTTTGCCGTTGTCTCTGCATGTGTTATCTTCAAACACAACTTTCAGAGAGTAAAGACATGCCACAGCAGTCCTATTTTCTTATGTTCAGACTTCTGCATGCATGTGTCTCGGAAGGAAGCTCTTAGAGGAATGTCTGCAAGGGGGGGTGGAGTGTGGCAATATCATTTCCTGTGTCTGTCTGCATTCGAGACTTCTGCTAACACTGCTGTAACAGACTCATTAATATTCACAGAGGCTGTACAGTTCCGCTGCTGACAGCACACAGATGACAGTGTTTCTTGGGAGCTAAAAAGGCATAAGGCAGCATAGTCTGGCACTTTCTGCTCACAGGCTCCAAGAACATTTTCAAAGTGCCTCATCGTTACTTAAATGTGCTGACAAAGGGGAGCTCCGCTGCCGTAAGTTTAACAATTTTCCTCAACTCCTACCCAGCATGTATTCCCTCATTAGCGTTTCTTGAAACACGGTACTTGGGGGAGGGTGGATAAAGGAGTCAGATTAAAAAGCAAATGAGCCTTTGGCATAACACTTGAGTGCCTTGCGGGCTCTTCTATAAAAGTAGAAGAGGCCCTAGAAAGTGGGCTCCGTGAGGTGTGTGCCCACTCCAGCTTGAATGAACGTGTGTGCCAAGAGTGGGTATTCGCCATGCATGGCGGGACTTTGGCAGTCTCCGGTACATCAAGGGTCTCTCGCTTTCTCTTTTCTTTGGCGTGTTCCTCTGAGAGAATCCTCTGTACAGGACAAGAGGTGAGATGCTTCCAAACACTTTGCTTTCTATGTCTGATCAAACTAAGGGTTTTGCCCCACAAGTCCACTACGGTGGCAATCAGACTGGAGTAAAAAGGAGGTGAGAGAGGCTGAAGACCAATGTGTGTGTGTGTGTGTGTGTGTGTGTGTGTGTGTGTGTGTGTGTGTGTGTGTGTGTGTGTGTGTGTGTGTGTCAGAGGTGGGTTGCTGGCCTGGGGTAGGTGGATATTTGGGGGAGGGGTGGGCCCGATGTTTGCTGAATGCTCCCTTTGTTGGGATCATATTATGTTTCCACCACAATACTTCTAAACCCTGCTTCATCAACCCCATTCATATGTAACATTTCATGCAAATAGCATCACTAGTCTTTTTTTCCTGGGGGTGGGGTGGGGGTAGGATTCTTTTATCAATCTCCCACACAAACTTCTCTCTTTCTCCTCCCTGCAAACTCTTACCGGCACATCACTTGTCTCATTATTATGCATTCATACAGTTTTACATGTCTGTCAATTTGCTCATACTTGACATTTCTCGTCAACACTTCCTTACTAGTTCGTCGTAGCTTATCAGATTAGAAGAATGGCAAGAAAGATTGTAAACCAAAATAGGCACTTCTTTCAACTATACATCGAGAAGAGGAATAAAATGTGTTGTCACCAACATTTCGGACATGAAATACAACACCGATGAAGTGGCCGATTTTGCTATTATCGTCATAGCAACTGCCAACAGAGTACCAACTACCACCACACACAGACACTTTACAAACCAAAGCTAACGTAGGATACATAAACCGAAGTTTCCCTGTGGCCTGCGGCGTAAGATGTAATTTCATCAATAGTGGTTTCTTTCATTTCACCTCAAATAGATATTATGTTGACACAATCCCCGTGAGGCATTTGTTGGGAAATGGGATTGTATTTACAGTAAGGCCCAATAAAACTGGGCCTGAGAAGTGTTTCCCTTGCAAATAGTGACTTTATTGCCACCAGAGGTGTTATAGTGTCATTATTGTATATATGGCGTAATTAGTAATAACATGCTAATGATGACTAAGCACTCACTAAAACACACACGGACAACTTTTAACGATGCATTATTAAAGGGTTAACTTTCCATTTGAGAGTAATGTTCTTGGAACATTTTCTGTAAGCTTGTCGTTAAAATGAACATTGATGTGGATGGACGATTATTCAACTTGCTACCAATGTCCCTTTGAGAACGTTTTAAAACATCGTCTTCTGTGCCACTCCCTCGATTAAATACAGTTAAGTCCATTAAGTGCAATTCAACGTGCGCAGACACCTTGTCAAAACACATCACATCTTTTTTTTTTTTTTCTGAATGACACACAATCGCTCCAACTCACCCTGGACGAGGCTTTCCTCTTGTACTTGTTGGCGAAATCAAACTTCTCCTTGATTTCGTCCAGGAGCTGCTCCAGGCGGCTCTTCTCCTCCTTGCCCGTGTAATCCTGGCCAAGGAGGACGTAGGCCCTCCAGTTGGCCGAGTCGAAGCCCCAGTGGCAAGTCCTGTTCTCCTGCGCCTTGTGGCTGTGCACAACGAACTTGTGCGTGGGGTACATGAGTCTGCAGTCCATGCACTGGATGCACGCTGCGTTGGGGCTGGTGTACAACTCGGGAACAAACAAGCCCTTGCACTTGCCGAAGCACTCGTGGTAGATTTTGAAGCTCCTCTCGGTGAGCTCCAGTTCCAGCGCTCCTCCGCCGCCCGCCTCCTTCTTGCAACGAGGAGGGTAAGCGCCCCCGTAGATGAGCGCGTTGCACAGCCGCTCGGCGTCCGTCTTGGTGATGAGGCCGCAGGAGGGCGCCGAAAAGGGCAGGATCCCCATGACTTTGAGGATTTCCAGCTGGTCGGCAGTGCACCGGGAGCAGTAGATGTGCAACTCGTCGCACACCGAATTGATTTGCTGCAAGCTGAAGTCCCGCAGCACGGCAGTGCACCGGGAGCAGTAGATGTGCAACTCGTCGCACACCGAATTGATTTGCTGCAGGCTGAAGTCCCGCAGCACGGTGTGGGTAACCTGGGGGAGCCACAGCCGCTTCTCCCCTCCGACCACGAAGCACGAGATGGTCTCGCCCTCCAGGACCGTCTCGCACCTCTCCGTGGAACGGTCCGATGGGATAAAGAGCGGCCCCGGCATCACTGGCGGCCCTGGGGGTGGGGTGGGGGTAGGATTCTTTTATCAATCTCCCACACAAACTTCTCTCTTTCTCCTCCCTGCAAACTCTTACCGGCACATCACTTGTCTCATTATTATGCATTCATACAGTTTTACATGTCTGTCAATTTGCTCATACTTGACATTTCTCGTCAACACTTCCTTACTAGTTCGTCGTAGCTTATCAGATTAGAAGAATGGCAAGAAAGATTGTAAACCAAAATAGGCACTTCTTTCAACTATACATCGAGAAGAGGAATAAAATGTGTTGTCACCAACATTTCGGACATGAAATACAACACCGATGAAGTGGCCGATTTTGCTATTATCGTCATAGCAACTGCCAACAGAGTACCAACTACCACCACACACAGACACTTTACAAACCAAAGCTAACGTAGGATACATAAACCGAAGTTTCCCTGTGGCCTGCGGCGTAAGATGTAATTTCATCAATAGTGGTTTCTTTCATTTCACCTCAAATAGATATTATGTTGACACAATCCCCGTGAGGCATTTGTTGGGAAATGGGATTGTATTTACAGTAAGGCCCAATAAAACTGGGCCTGAGAAGTGTTTCCCTTGCAAATAGTGACTTTATTGCCACCAGAGGTGTTATAGTGTCATTATTGTATATATGGCGTAATTAGTAATAACATGCTAATGATGACTAAGCACTCACTAAAACACACACGGACAACTTTTAACGATGCATTATTAAAGGGTTAACTTTCCATTTGAGAGTAATGTTCTTGGAACATTTTCTGTAAGCTTGTCGTTAAAATGAACATTGATGTGGATGGACGATTATTCAACTTGCTACCAATGTCCCTTTGAGAACGTTTTAAAACATCGTCTTCTGTGCCACTCCCTCGATTAAATACAGTTAAGTCCATTAAGTGCAATTCAACGTGCGCAGACACCTTGTCAAAACACATCACTTTTTTTTTTTTTTTTTCTGAATGACACACAATCGCTCCAACTCACCCTGGACGAGGCTTTCCTCTTGTACTTGTTGGCGAAATCAAACTTCTCCTTGATTTCGTCCAGGAGCTGCTCCAGGCGGCTCTTCTCCTCCTTGCCCGTGTAATCCTGGCCAAGGAGGACGTAGGCCCTCCAGTTGGCCGAGTCGAAGCCCCAGTGGCAAGTCCTGTTCTCCTGCGCCTTGTGGCTGTGCACAACGAACTTGTGCGTGGGGTACATGAGTCTGCAGTCCATGCACTGGATGCACGCTGCGTTGGGGCTGGTGTACAACTCGGGAACAAACAAGCCCTTGCACTTGCCGAAGCACTCGTGGTAGATTTTGAAGCTCCTCTCGGTGAGCTCCAGTTCCAGCGCTCCTCCGCCGCCCGCCTCCTTCTTGCAACGAGGAGGGTAAGCGCCCCCGTAGATGAGCGCGTTGCACAGCCGCTCGGCGTCCGTCTTGGTGATGAGGCCGCAGGAGGGCGCCGAAAAGGGCAGGATCCCCATGACTTTGAGGATTTCCAGCTGGTCGGCAGTGCACCGGGAGCAGTAGATGTGCAACTCGTCGCACACCGAATTGATTTGCTGCAGGCTGAAGTCCCGCAGCACCGTGTTGAGGATCTGGGGGAGACACAGCCGCTTCTCCCCTCCGACCACGAAGCACGAGATGGTCTCGCCCTCCAGGACCGTCTCGCACCTCTCCGTGGAACGGTCCGATGGGATAAAGAGCGGCCCCGGCATCACTGGCGGCGGTAGATGCTGCAGGACAGCCTCGGGCTCCTTCCCGTCCTTCTTGAAGAGAAGCTCATGTTGCCAACGGGCAGAGAAGGCGGCCGGCCCCCCGAGAGAGCTCATAGAGCTGAGGTGAAACTGCTTGAGAGTTTGTTGCAGTCCCGGATGAGGCTGGAAGCTCTGCCGACTTACAGTCTCCATGTTTTCCCCGCAACTTTACCAGCGAAAGCCCCTCTCGTCTTCGACCCGGGACCACGAGCGTCTTGTCGCGCCTGAACCAGATAAATCCACCGCGTCCGAGAATTGGCCAAAACTTTGAAGCACTTCATCAAACATTTAGTGAAGGGGGGCGAAAATTCGTTGTGGGTTCACACTTGTATTCCCGCAATGAGTGAATGAACGCCGGTCAGTGGCTCCCTGAAGCGGCGCTGGGACTGTCCATGTCGGATAAATGTGGGGCTGGCTTTAAAACTCCAAAACGACCCCACCAAAAGTTCCCCGCGTCCAATTCCGAAGGCTAGAGGACGAAAACAAATGAAAAGCGGTTGTCGAAAGTCGATATTAGTTGGATTCAAACGCTACTTCAGCAGCTCTTTCCGCTCTCGAGGACCGCTCCGTCGGCCCCCGCAGTTCACTGTGACTGTATGGAGATGAGCTCTCTCTCCCCCTTCTCTCTCTCTCTCTCTCTCTCTCTCTCTCTGTCTGCATCTCTCGGTCACGCGCACGCGCACTCACTCCCCTCCCCTCCGCGTTTATGTGTCTGGCTCAGTCATTGAATCCCAGCCAGGAATGTGAGTGACTCTGCAGGCACGGCTGTTCCAGGGACAAGCCTGCACTCCCTCGCTGCCGTCCTCATCTTTATACCTTGGTTATTGAAGTATTCTTCCTACATTTGTTTTGAATTCAAAACTGCATACCAAACTCCAGCAGATATGAAATATCGTAAAAACATTTTATGTTGTGATTATAGAGCATTGCAGAGGTGCCCTTGAGCAAAGTGTATTCACTTTTGACACTTCTCCACAAAGTCATCATATCACTGTGTGTACGCAAAGCACGCGCCTACCATTTATACCTCCAGTATATACAATACAGTCAGGAAAATAAAGCCCATTTCTGTATTGTTGTAGAGGTATGCATGATTTGTCTCTGACGAGAACGTGCAAAGCTTCTGCTTTTGTATGTATGGTATTCAAGTTTTACATAGTTGCACATAATTATGTTCTTCGAAAACGCATCAAATGTTACATTGGAGACCAATAATTATCCAAATATGTAACATTTGATTCCATGGGGAGACATGGCAATGAATTCTTAGATACTCAGCTCTTATTTCCAACTGTACAACGTGCTCGGTCACAGCTTTTGAATTTAGTCTGGCATCAGCTTGGATATGTTACATGGATTTAAGGACAATACGTGTCTCTTTCTTTTTTTGTGTGTGGTCAAAGTGATGCTTTTTTTTGCAATTTACAAATGAAGCTGCCCACTTTGTTGCAACACATGCGCATGACTGAACATGTGTGTTTAAAGATGATTTGTGAACTCAAAGTCCTTACTTCCACTCAGTTTCTCTCTGAATGTTAATACAGGAAGTGCCACAGTGAAAATTGATGGCGAATTACCAAAACCAAGTGACTCGACGTGACAAGTTCAACTTCAAGGGAAGGAATGGAGTTGGCTGCTCTAGTGGCGCCCCCCAGCCAGACACCGCTGTCACTGCAACTCGAGGCGTGCTTCCTGGACACGAAACGTGGCGAACTGTCATTGCAAATGCAGGGTAGAGTAGAGAGAGCGAAGCTTTTAAGAAACTCAACATAAAGTTAAAATGCAATTGGTCCTGCAATGAAAAAAAATCCTCCTGACGAATTTGAAGGGTAAAGCACTGGATGTCAGCATGCTTTCGGATTGCTCTTTCCTGTCATGTGTGAGAAAGCCAAGAGTGTCATGGTAGTGTTACAGTAAAATTGTTGCGTCGAATGGAGTATGATAATAAGACTAATATATGAACAACTTCAAGATAAGACAAATCTCAAAGAAGACCTAGTCCTAGACTGTATTGCTGACACATCCCCACCCTTAATTGCCATATAAACCTGACTTCCAAAAACTGTTTGGGCAGATAACGTCACCATCATGCACATGCTAGAGTTATTCGCAAAGAATGTATGTACAGTACATGAATATGGGAGGATATGGAAGTGGTAGTGGCACTGTTGCCCTAATAGTAAGAAGGCTTGATGATTCTGAACTGAACAAGCGTCACACAAAAAAACGATCAATGGAGCCATTTGTCCATGTTCCAATGTTTGACTGAGGGAATGTTGAACGGCATGGCTGCCTGCCAATGTTTCTCAAGTAGTATTACAATTCGAGCATATCAACGTCCACACCCACATTCCTGTCTATATAGGAAAAAGAAAACCTGTCACAGACAGCAGCATAAACTCTGGACCAGTTAACGCATTGATTGTGGTCTGCAGTGAAGTAGCAGTGCACATTGAAATACTGTACTGTCATTACATAGCTTTGGAATAAATACTATGAAACATTATTCACGATTGTATCATATGCATAAGACCTGAAAAAAGACCGGTATCAAATATACTTTAGCTTCAAAGACATCATGATATAACGTTCAGTTATGATTGTCACTGTCAGGGGTATTCATTTTACAATGTATTTACTATATTGTGGTTGTAGTGAGCACTAACTGCTTCTGCATCACAGCTGTTTTTTTAAAAATTATTATTTCTTGTGTAACGAACTCCCTCGACACTCTGGAGGAGCACCCTGACAGCACTGGGCAGCTCCTTCAGCCACAGACTGATACATGCGTGCTGCAAGAAGGAGAGGTACCACCGCTCGTTTCTGCCGACTGCTATCAGGCGACTGAATAGACGCAACCGAAAACCTGGACTCACTCCCACTCACCCATTTTAAATAGCACAGCCACCTTATGCAGCATATATGCAGTTGCATATAAGCTTGTATTCTATATTTTATATTTTATATTGCATTCTGTACTGTGTACAGTTCATTTTTTAAATTTATTTTGGGCATGCAAATACTTGATGTTTTTCTATTTTCTTCCCTCCAAACTTGCTGCTGTAAGTTGCGAATTTCTCCATTGTGAGACAAATAAAGATTTTCTCATCTTATCTTGATTGCGATAACTTAAGTTTTGCCACAATATTAAACATTAATAAGGTGAGGAAGTTTCCTCCTCTCTGACATGTCAGCAGTAAAACAGCATTATTCATCCATCCATCCATCCATCTCGGAAAACAACAACAAAAAAAAAGAGTTGGGCAAAAGGGCCAAACTGAAAAGACCGATTGGATTTGACAGTTTTCAAAAACCATTCCTCCCCTAATCTCTCTCTCTCTCTCTCTCTCTCTCTCTCTCTCTCTAGATCAATGGTTCTTAACCTGGGTTCGATCAAACCCCAGGGGTTTGGTGAATCGGTCTCGGGTTCGACGGAGCCTCTGCCCCATGGAGGGTAAGACACATGCTACTCAACATGTTAATTAGTTATGACACGCCCGCTTGGCCATCAATGGCTGCAGATGATCACATGACATTGCTTGTCCAGTCAGTGCTGTGGGAAATTTAGTTCGCTTAGTCGCTTAGTTATCGATCGATCGATAGACTTCCATACAGACCTTTGGTTAATGCATTGTGATTGGGCATGTGGTTAAAATGATGCTGGTCGCAGTGTAACAATAACTTCTGCTCTACTCATCGTTGTAACCATCTCCATGGCAGCAGAACACCAAACAGCATCACGTGGGACGAATTACATCAGGTTTCTTTCCTGGCGCTGGCTGTCTTTTTCTCAGAGTAGCACTATGTACCACAGGACCAGACCACTGGTCCCCTCGACTGTTTCACTGTAAAGCTCGAAAAACAGATCAGCTCATGTCAGCTCTTCTGTAATGGTCCTTCTGGAATACCGAACTCACACAGTTCTGTTGCCCAAAAAAATGTGGTCACCAACATTTAAAGTGGGAGGTTGCCTCATAATGCTGTTTTCATTTTTGGCAGTAACCCTCACTCTCCTTTGTTTTCTAAGTATTTTCTTTTCTTTTCCATTGCATAAGGCTAGCCAATCTCCATTGGTCCCAATCTGCGGGCCAAAGGTTTAGCGGGTTCAGAAATTTCCCACTTTTATTTTGTCAAATTTCCACTTTATTTGTGCCCTGACAGAGGAAAGAGAAGATGCTGTAATTGCATCTGGTGTTCTTTGTCCATGTACACTTTGTTAAGTGTACATGGAGAGGACTTCATCATGAAACAGTCGCATAATATGTGTAACAATGAAGATCTCAAACATACTGTACTACAAGTCTCTATGAAGTTGTTTCCACATTATGTCTTATAATAAATAAACATAATAAATTTGACATACCGCAGTGAAGAGTGCTGATAACAAGCCTGCCAAATGTGGAAAAAAAAAAGGATAGCGTACGTATATAAAATGAGGCTCGGAAATCTAATGGAGACCTCCTTCTGGCTTTCAGATGCTGTGAGCGTGTGAAAACACGCCCCGCTTGATCTCCATGTGTCAATTAAATACTTTGTGCGTTCGTTGATGCGCTCCAATATGTGCTCCATTAACTGTCATTGTGACCCACAGGCTGATTAACATGTGCTGCTGTGTTTAACAAACAGTTAACTCTGGAAGTGTCTGTTATGTGCAAGTGTTTGTTTGTGTCTCTTGTGACTGAGGCAACTTTATGAAAGCTACCATAAAACTGAACACCCACAATTTGTGAGAGTGGAGTATGTGACAAAAAAGTAGCATGCAAGGTCTGCCATGTGAAGTTTGTAGTTATTTAAGAATTATGCCTTAAAAGACTACTCCTACTGATAATAATAATAAATAAACGTTTGACCTGGAATCGACAGGTTGTGTGGGAGTGTTCAGAATTTCCCAATTGTCATCCCGCCCTTTTATGTATGTATGTATGTATGTATGTATGTATGTATGTATGTATGTATGTATGTATGTATGTATGTATGTATGTATGCCTTTCTGCTTGCCTGCCTGCTTGGAATAATGAAACATCGGTATGGGTGTTTCCTATGAAATAGACCTTCTCGGATTGGACAAACTTCAGTGACGTCATAGAACAAACAAGGAAGTTGAGTACCGCGAAATGTGCGAATATAAAGGCACACTAACATGGCGGGCAATCTCTCAATTAAAAGCATAAATAATCGCAAGTATTCCTCCGAGGATACTGTGGAAGTAACTTCTGGTGGCTCTCTGGACACGATACATACAGCTGCGAAGAAGACTAATGTTAAGGAATTATGCTCCCCCTCCTCTACAACTAACATGACCAGGTTGGCGTAACAATTTACATCAATCGAGAAAGAAAGCAATGCATGTGTGGTGAAAGTTTGATGATTACGCTTTTCCAAACACTGACAGACTACGGTAGGTTTCAAACTATTGATTTACAAATTCGTGTTACGCCGAACGCAACATCGCCGTAAACCGATGACTCTGTGTTTGTGACAAACATTACACTGTCGAGATCTACGCTACCACTGTCGTGAAGTTACATTTCCCGTAAATATTTTTGCGAAAATACATTTCAAGGCCGTACACGAGGGAATTTGCACTGTGACCAATATATCTAAAATGGCATACTAGGTAATTGGAAAATACACTTTAGTAGATTGACAATTGTGATTTGAAGGTCTACAGATTCTGGCTCACCATGGTGGACCAAGGAGCATCTCCCTGCTGTGGAAAACCTGTGGGCCTTGACCCTCCAGTCCGCTCTGCCGTACCTGAAAGAGAAGCAATGGGAAGTTCCTGATTTTCCTCATCCATCTAGTACGGTGTGTTACCGCTTTGGTTTTCTCTTGACAGTGCCATCATTTGCACTGATAAGACCAGGAGCACTAAAAGTAAAAAAAAAAAAAAAAAAAAACATACATTACTCCCAAACTAAGTTTTCTTTTTTTTTCCTTACAGAGAAATTAGATATATAGATATATATTTGCAACAAAAAACGTGAGAAATGGTGCAATTTCCTTAAACTAAAAAGTTAATCAACAGCTGATTAATCAGAGTGAGAAACAGGCGTAAGGGTAGTAAAGTGGTTTACAAAACTGCTTTAAGGTTCTCAGGTTCGGTGTTTAAATTCAGGCCCCTTCCTCTGCGCTTGAGTGGGAATAGCTCCCCCCCTCTGACAATCTGCTCTGATTGTTTTGCGTAGTTGCAATCCACGCTGATTATACCACAAACAATCATAGTTTGTAATACAGACATAATTATATGCACATGTATGTAATTAGCACTTGGACTATTTCTCTGGTGATCGGGCCTCATTTTTTTAGCATTATCCTTTATTAAATGGTTTGTCAGCATTACGATGTGCTCCTACATAGCAGGAGATTTTACAGCTGTGTTCATATTCTAACCATTATAGTACTCCAATTAATTTAAAAGTGTGTGAGAGTTGTTGCATCTTAAATACCCCTCAAACCACCACAACTACTACGGGGAATTGTGCGCATAAATAAGTGATAGAAAAGAAAAAAAATACAGAGAATGGAGGATGATTACTATATAAGCTGGAGAAGCAATCGGTAGAGCGTGAATCCCCTCAAAGTTGGAACTTGTGACAAAAATCATTACCGTGTTTGTCTGACGCTGTTGTGGGGAGTTGCAGTTCTCATCGTGTGCTCCAGGCAGCAGAGGCAGTAAAAAGGACATTTTATTTAAACTGCTCCAATATTTCAAGTTTCTTCTTGATCCAGCCGACGGTTGAATAAGGTGGAGAAAAATTAAGAAAGAAAAGCACGTTCAAATCAGACGAACATCCGTCATTTTTCTTCGCATTTTATTTGCATTTGTCTCTTATTGACAATGACACATTGACACTTTCATATTTCCGAAAGCAGGGAACGCATGTAAATACTCTTTAGAGGTAAGCAACCCCACACGAGGAGAAAAATAATCCTAAAATATATTCTTACTGCTCTTATAATGTGCGGCGTGCTCCAGATGACCACCAACGCACAACACGCATGCAACAGTATCCCTGCAGAGTTTCATGACTTTGGGTTGGGCAATCATGAGGTCATCGTTTCGTCCGCAGCTAAATGTTGCCAATACTCCTGCTTAGAAAGACAAATGAGCAGATTCATTGACACGTTGTTTTTCATATGACGAGCCCGCCCAATGAAGGCAATTACTGAGTTAATCGTTGCTGAACATAATTGCATGGTTTTCCATTTTATATGGTGCAAAGCAATCATTCATACACATATTGATCCACTTCAATTGGTGGAAGCAGCATGAAAAAAAAAAACATGTACATTGCTCAACAGTGTTTCTGCTTTCATTTTTAGGAAGACACGTCGCATGTGCTGGACGAAGTTCTTCCCTTCCCTGAACCACCTCCAGCATCTCAACAGTGTCCAGACCTCCCGGCCAGCTCTTCCCAGCAGAGCAAAGCTGGACTGGACATTGCTGACAGGTCGCTCTCCTCTCTCATTCATCACGAGCACAAGGGCAACTTTGTGACTGTACGAGGTCGCGCCGAAGAAGATCATACATCTCTCAATGCCATCGCCGGGCCCTCACGTGTCAAAAGGGGAGGCAAAAAGCAAGATAGAAAAGCGGAAGTGGAAAAGAGGCTCATGGTACAAGCTCATGCTTTGGACAGTCAACCTCTGGGCGAGGAAGAAAATATCTTTGAGGAGAGAATGGAGACTGAAGAGGGTGAGGGAAAGAAAAGCAGTGGCACAAAAAGTAGAGAGCAAGCTCTCCATAAGTTGGATAAGTGTCCGATGTGCTTGCTGGTCTTCCCTGTTGGGTGAGTATGAACGTCTACAAACACTCAGGAGCAAATCAAACAAATGAAACAACTTTCACTCATTGTTAATGGAACACAGACATAAAATGTTTCATTTCTAAAAGTTGGAATGGCCTCCACGCGATATGAAGCGCAATAGAAAACAGGTTGCACGTTTGCATGCGTTTTGACCATGTTTTGGGAATCCAACGTCGAATTGTTTTTTGTGCACACATGAATCCTGATATTCCTGTCCCCCCCAGGGCCTCTCAGATGGACCGTGATGGCCACCTGGCTCAGTGTCTGTCAGAGATGAACGTGGACATGAGCTGGTGAGCTCCAGGCAGTCCAGATGTGCCACCTGCTTTCGTTTTAAAGTGAGGCCTTTTTTATGGTGATGTGAGGAATCAGCAGGCGGTCAAGAGACATTCAAATCTTTTTCATAATTCATCTGCACGGCGGTCATAAAAGTGGGATGGTGGTCCCGAGCACCCAAAGCAACTCAAAGATGTCATGCAGTGGTAGAACAAGGACATATATTGTACATAAATTAGTGATGGATTGATTTTACTCTCAATTATTTACAACTTTAACCCTTTCATGCACCAATAATGATAATAATAATAATGATTACTTCTATGTAGTAATGTTTGGGGGTGTTTTTTTTTCATTAAAAAGGTTATATTCAAATATTCAAAGTGACACATTCTGGGCTTTATATCGTGTTCAAGCCCTTCCTTGTGGAAGGATTTTTTTTTTTTTTTTTTTTTTAAACCTGACACAAAATTCCGTGGTACGCTGCTTACATCACAGGTGTGTAGCTGCAGCCGCCGAGGGCTGCTATTCAAGTTTTCAGTGTCGTAATCAGGCTCCAGCAGAGCTTGCTGATGAGCTGACCAGAGTTGGACACAGGTGGCTCACACAAACCGCCGGCACAACATCTTTTATTGGCGCATGGAGAGAAAGCAAAAAGACTTATTTCAAAAACCACATAGCAGAATTCATTTTTGTTGCAAATGTAATTGGAAAAAAACATACTGGTTGTTTTCTTTTGTTTTTTTCTCAGGCTTAAACTCCAAAAGTCTTGGTCTCGTCTCACTCTCGAGACTGTCTTCTTGGTCTCGGTTGGTGTGGTCTTGACTACAAGTTAGTTTTGACAAAGAGCAAACTATCACAATGTCATGAACATTTTAATAAACCAGGGAAGCGCCAACAACCGTGAATAAAATTTTGAGCTTGTGACTGCAAAGGAAGGTCTGGTCAGGATTAATTTACAGTATGATGTCCTTAACAAAATCAGCAGTGCGGAAAGGGAATTTTTCTCTTTTTTTTTCAAGCTGAGAGAAATAAATATGAGACGAAGTCTGTTTAAACATTTTAAAACATTAAACATGCACAAAAATACCTCAGCGGGTGTGTGTGTGTGTGTGTGTGTGTGTGTGTATTCTAAGCCAGGGGCCCCCAACCTTTTTTGTCCCACGGACCGGTTTATGTCAGACAATATTTTCAGGGACCGGCATTTAAGGTGTGGTGGAAATAATACAAGAAATTAATATGGTATGAGCTGCATGAAAACTGTGGTGTTTTCGAAATATAATAATAAACACAAGGAGCGTCTAATCTGGCCGCAACACTCCGATCGCTATGGCAATGTTTAATGCCTTCAAAATACGATACAACGCAAATTCAAAGTGCATGAAAATGACGACTCACCACAGCACCGAGCTTGATTTTCTGCAACCAGACGGTCCCATCTCAGGGTAATAGGAGACAATGACACCTCAAGTGTGTGGTTTATGTCCAGTCTACTTCGTAATTTTGCTTTCGTCGCCGTTGCTGCAGAAACCCCCCGCCTCACACAGGTAAGATGTCGGAAATAGCAACAGTGCTATTGTGGCGATCTCAGAGTATTCAGCCATAACTTTAATCCAGTTGTCTCGAACGTACTTTTAAGGCCGCCGTGATTTGCAATCTCAAGCAGTTTTTTTACTCATTTTGCGAGCTTCTGCGTTTTGTTTTGAAGTAATTGGTCACGTGATGGAGAAGCGTGGCTTCACGTGTGTCAAGCGTGACACAGACGGATGTAACGGAGAATCCGGTAGTTTTTCAAAATAAAACATCTTTCGTATTCCGAAATAAAACTGAATTAAGGCAAGTTCTTTCTGTGCGGCCCAGTACCAAATGCCCGGCGGACCGGTACCGGTCCGCGGACCCGCGGTTGGGGACCGCTGTTCTAAGCATTGGAAGTACCAATCAGAGATGCAAAGGAGTCAAAGGTTCACAGAAAACCAGTATTTGTTTTTAATTATTTCACATATTTACAAAGATGCTGAGAAGAAATATAACAATCAAACCAGCATTAAATTCAAACAAATCTGTAGACATGTTGTTCATCATCATCATTATTATTATGATGATGATGATGATGACTATTCTCTGAAGTGGAATCCCACTACAGTGTTGTTCTTTTGGTAAATGTCGCTCCTCACTGATGTTTCAGTGATGCAAATGGCCAACATTGGTCCCTCAAGGGAGGAAACACCCCAAATCAAGTTTGCCGAATGTCGAAGTGCAAGTGGAAGTGTATATTCAGTGCCTCTGTAAGTGCTTCATTATCGCTGCCCGTGCTATCTTCCTCTCTGCATGTCAAGGCCTGAAGCTAAATGAGAACCTTTGACTCTGGATCCACTAATTAATCCTGTTATGGAGCTAACTAAATAATCAAGGGTCAGATTTCATCATATAATTCTCAGCCAAGAGAGACAATTTCTTAGTAAGTGCATTTAAAAAAGCTAATTTAGATGGAATAATGAAGTGTTTGATTTGATGGAGATTTAACGGAGGTCCACAGGCTTGAAATTGGAACATTTTGATAAAGGGCGGGGGAAGGAGTGGGTCAAATGTTCATGGTCATGTGATTTTTAAAATCGACATTGATCCACAGTTGAGGTTAGAAAAAAAAGTACAAAAAAGTGTAAATGTAAAAGAGTTTGTTTAATAAAAAAATCATTACTTCATGCATAATAAATTGAAATGACAACACAATGAATGGAATCGGTGAATCCATTTTAGGGAGAATGTGGCACGTTCCATATTTGACCATACTTTGCCCACCACTTGGACTTTTAAGGTGAGAACACTGCACAAAACATTCACCTCCAATACTGCCATATTTTTGAATGCAACAATCCATTTGTGAATAAAGAAGATGTCAGCCCTAAAGCCTGTATTAATCCAACAACAACAAAAAGTGGCCTTGTATGGGCTGCGTGAGCTTCCGCGCTGGGTCTTCCAATTCTAAAAAACAAATTAAACCTCAGCAGGGTGGTTAGTGTTTTGTTTTAAAAATGTCCAAAGTATGAATTCATTCACTATTCAGATTCTATACCATTCAGGATTGGGGGCTGTAGGCGGCCTGACTCATCCACCTGACAGTCACAGGCAACACAGAGGATGTACAATAACTGTCTTTTCTGTTGGAAGTTCAGAGAATGAACCACTCCACTTTAATTAAGAGGCTACCCAGAAACTCACAAATGCTCCTCGTATGCAGGAAATAAAGGTTTATTTGACCTTCAATTTAGTATGGCCCTCGGAGGACTACTTCAAAACTGAAATGGCCCGACGCCTGCGCTCTTCAGCATTCATCCATGTCCAACTGTGCTTGTCCGGTGGAAAATTCACAAACAAGGAAAAAAAGTCCTGGTATATTTGAATTTGTAATCAATTACACAAGGAGTGCCCAACCTTTTTTGACCGAAGATCGGCTTTTCAAGCAAATGACCATCCCGCGATCGAATTGCGACCGCACGTGCACCCATACACACACATGCACGCTACGATGAGCAACAGCCAAAAATGGCCCAGAACACGGACGAAACATACAAATAAAGTGGATACAAGACCTTGTGAGTTTGAAAAAAGGAATCAGTGCTTACCTTAGTCGAGACCTGACGCGTCGGCATTGGACGCACTTTGGCAGCGTCTGCAGTGCAGCAACGTCGCGATCGTAGCTCACATGTATCGTTAAAAAAAAAAAAAATCCTGGCACTTCAGATTCCCATTCTTTGCCACTGACATCGGTGAATTCTACATGAAACAAACTTCTAATGAGAATAATAAAAACAAAAAAGAAATATATGGCAAAAGCTATAATCGCAAGCTCTAACTGCAGACTGCTAACAACTTCCGGTGATGCAGGTCATGAGCCGCCGTATGTTAAAGGTGACCTGCTTTGTTGTATTATTTTATTTTTAAAAGACTTTTTTTTTCTTTTGGTGAAACTGAGAGGATGCTTAGGGTGGACTGTGCACTAACACAAAAATATAGAATATTAATAACACGCACACAGACACACATTTTTTTAAATCTATTTTCCCCAGGCCGAGACACAATTGGATTGACTTGGGACCAGTTCACGGGCTACCGGTCATCACGATCGACTGGTTGGGCATCCCTGAATTACACTGTGTCTGTGGCTTGTTGCTTGCGTAAATGTACAGTTGTGATCAGAATATTACCAATAGTTTAGGAAGCAAGTAAAGCTCAAATCCTGACACAGTTCTGAAATGTGTTTCCCTCATCATTCATCTTTCAAACTGTGCTAGCTGTTACAGTGGAAACAATAGTTAAATTGCATTTAAGTACAATACTTTCAGCTCTATTCCACCAGAACTGTTTTGTTTTCCAGCATTTATTTAGGTACAATTTTGATTAAACCTGTATGTGGAACATATTTTAATTTAATCATTCAGCGTAGTTAGTTTTCACATTTTCTTATATTTAAGCAAAGTTCCTGGTCATTTTAACAGCATAATGTGGCATACAATCATAGTAAATGTGCATTTCAGGATTAAAACAGATAATTTCTGATGAACACTATGGTTTACTACACTGCTGTATTTCATGTTATTTTGGGAGTACAGTACTTGGAGAACAAAGTGGGATTTTATGTGTGCCTGTTTGTTTGTTTTTTTGTATTTCAGTTTTTTTTTTTTTTTTGCTATGACTTGGATGTAAAAAAACTACTGTTTTACAAAAAGTCAAGAAAAAGGAATACTTGGCTGTTCAATGAAGTAGCAGGGTCTGATTTTCCCGATGTAAATGAAAAGACAATAAGATTTTGTTTTTCTGTGCAGCACGCACTAATACCATGGTTGTGCTAGCTTGACTGGTTAGAGCAGCTTCACATCTGGGTCACGTGTAGTGGACCAATTCCTAGCACCTGTGAAGTGCTGTTCCACTCCAGTGCTCCCAGTGCGTTTGCGCATGTGGAAATAAAAGGTATAACACAGCGCTATGATCCCGAACAAAACGGTAAATGGACCAAGTACATTTTGACAATGAAAATACAGTCATTCTTGTGAAAGGATCAGCTAGCACCATCCCAAAC